CGGTCTAATGCTGAGAATTATGATAACTACTATGCGTCCAACTAAGTCGCCGTAACAACAAGACCAAGATGCGAAAACGAGGTCAACCCCTTTCTATACATCACAAGCAGACTGCGATGACACTCGTTTAGATCTTCCTATTTCGCGTCGCTTTCAGTGACTCTGTCTTTGTGTAATTTAGCTATTTTGTAAACAGAGCAATTGGTTATACGACTTGCCTTTTCTCTCTTCGTCCCCAGACATTCAAATTTAGCTCACGTTATAGAATTTATGCGTTTCATATTTAAGAGAGAGCCCACGTCCTTTCGGATTACAACATACCTTTGCTTGGGTAGGATGAATAGATTTCACAAATAAGCTAATTGAAATCCAGTGTTTCCTCGGAGAATGTGCTTAGTATTGATGCTGGCCAAGGGCGGATGAAGAGTAAACTGTCTGCGGTGCCAACATCACAACTGGTCTGTCTGTGAATGGAGGACGAGTAAAGAGACTAGTCCGAGGGGGCGACCTGATCGAGTAGCCTACCTGCCTCAACGTGTTATTGGCCTCCTTGACGACGAACGAAGCAAGAGACGGTGGCCGCCAGTTGGTGTCGATCTTCGTCGTCCAGACGTTCAGGTAGAGGCAATCCTCCGACATCGGCGTCGTGTGGATCCAGATGCGCAGGGTGGGGTCGAGGAAGTGTTCTGAAAAAGCCGTTAATTCACAAGTTAACAAGCGACGCGAAGAAAACTTCTCAGCCTGTATGTTCACAAAGACAAAAAGTGGTTTTAATATTGTTGGAAAGACCTTGATTTCATATGAAAGTGCATGAAGAAGCGATTCGTAGGTCGATCTCACGAGAAGAGAACTGATGAATCGCGTTGTACTGCAGCCGTTTGGCTTTTATACTACCTTCAGGTTGACGCAGTCCACGAGACCTTCTCCCTCGTTTCGGGTGAAAACGGGCCGAGCTTTCACACATTATATGATGAGGAGACGTCTTCAGAGCTGGAACTTGCTCTTGTCAAAATTTCACATTAACACTAGGTCATCGAAATCCAATTACTCTCCGTATCTACAGGTGGGCTTAACCATGAAAAAAACTCGGCAAACAATAAGATGTGACATAAACATAGTTGAAAACATCAAGGAACCTCGTCACGTGGACACTTACAGATCCAGAAGCCATCCCATGAGAAAATTCCGACAATGCGTGGAACCGATTTGAGTAGTACTAACTACTTTCTTCTTTAATTATAGTAACGAGACCTCCATTATCTGGTTGGCTACATCTTGCCTGCTCTACATGCAGGCAGATGAGTGTATTTAAGGCATGGAAAGGAGGCGGATGACTACTTGAGGATGCATGTGCGCTGTGTGCATGCATTATTCACAATTCAGTCGACATATTCGAACTAATATCAGACTTCCGAGTCTGTTCAATAGCCAGGGGTAGCTCTTACTTATTGCTAAATTATTTATTTATTTTTAAATCAAAG